GAGAGCTGGGGGGGGGGGGGGTGCTAGTGTATCGGTATTCTGCATACCTGACTTTTATTATAATGTATTGCTGGAACCTGGGACTTGTAGTCCCGCATAGCTCCAACTACAAGTCCCAGCAATGCATTATAGAGGGGGGGGAATGCTGGTGGCATTCTGCATTGATGACTTATTATAATGTATTGCTGGGACTTGTAGTCCTGCATAGCTGGTGGTATTCTGCATTGCTGTATGATGATTATACAGCAATGCAGAATAGCACCAATTATGTAGCAATACATTATATTTTTATGTAGGGATACACCAGTGCCAATACTGGGCATTTTCACGAGTACTCATACTCGTGAAAATGCCTTGATACTAAACGCAGATACCGGTGTTCTGTCGAGAACGCTGATGTAGTCGAATTTGCCGACCTCAGCATCTGCGCTTAAACACAGACCGGTATTATTGAGGGAACAGGCATTCATTTACAAAGTATTTTGTTTAAATTGTTAATTGTGACCGCTAATAATAGTCCATCCATCATTTATTGCCACCCATCATTTACTGCCATGGACGGTATATTATTAACGTTCACAATTAACAATTACAAACGAATACTTTGTAAATAAATGCCGGTTTCCTTGGTAATCCCGTCTGTACGCAAGCACAAATACTGGGTCAGCGTTCTCGGCAGAACAACACACTAAAATTTTAAACAAGCGGCTGCCCGAGGTCCCGTGCTTGCTGGGGACCTCGGCAGCCTTCCTGTTAACCATGCGGTGCCATGGCGGTTGGAGGCCCTTCATGGTTTCTGGCACCGGGGCCCTGAAGGTTCTAGTTACGCCTCTGTGTTCCCCTATCATGTCAACAAGACCACCAAGGTCTCTTGGCCGGAAAGAAAATGAACAGCCTCAAAATTGTTTTTGTTTTCTTCCCGATATGCCTGAGCTGGATATTTCCTCATTGTAGGCTACACACCAATGAAAGTACATAATACAACTATTTGAATTCAGCAACCCAATGGTTAGTATAAATGTTAACCCCACTGCCCTTTGTTGTTCATGGGGGTCTTTAAGTTGGCCATTCACTGTTATATTTGTTTTGTTCAACCTGCGGGATATAAACAAAAATATGTAACAGATTCCTCCATCCACGCTAAATAGCTTGCATGAACAAATTTCCCATGGAGCTATTGTATTCTGACAGTGGTGAGTGTGCCGCTGTCAGAATACCCGAACAATTTTCTGACTGGCTCCTTTGATTTTCTGATCAAAGGGTGCCGGACGGAAGGCTATCAACAGGGGCACCCACTGAACGAATTTCGTCCGGTTCATGAAAAACCGAACGAAAATTTGCTAGTTTGTGGCCAGCTTCAGTCTCATGAATATAGATAATCTCTATAAGGTTTATGATTTAACCTGGAAGTATAGATCCAGCTGAAAGGAATCAATTTTTCAGCCTGCAGGTGCACACTTGGTAATTGTGAACACTTAGCATGTGCTGCTAGGTGAATACTTAGTCCTGTTCTGGCTGCATTATTACTAGAGTACCAGAAATAGGGAAAAGGTATCTTACCAATAGAGTTGAAATTACTATTTTTTGCACATGAGGGATAATGGAAGCCAAGCATTAGGTAACTCAGCTATGATCTACAAGACTCTTTCACTTTCATTTTGCCAAAGGGTTGTATGCATAGCAAAATATTATTTTCTCCTGTGATCAGACAACACATACTTTAGCTATAATAAACTCAGTACTTAAATATCTACAGCATTTCATAGTGACCTTTTTTTCCTGCAATACAGAAGATACTGCATGGTACCTCTGTAAAAACAATGTAAACATTCTGTAAAGGCTTAAGCTAAAAGGACAAAAGAAATATTCCCATATGTAAGAAAAAAAATGGTCTTAAAGCTACACTCCAGATATATATACAGTATATACCGTTGGGTGAAAAAGTGTTGGCCCACTTCCTGATTTTTCATTGTTTTGCACGTTTGTCACACTTTAATGTTTCAGATCATCACACAAATTTAAATATTAGTCAAATATAACACAAGTAAACACAACATGCAGTTTTTAAAGGAAGGTTTTTATTATTAAGGGAAAAGAAAATCCAAACCCACATGGCTCTGTGGGAAAAAGTGTTTGCCCCCCTGTTAAAACATAACTTAACTCTGGTTTATCACACCCGAGTTCAATTTCTCTAGCCACACCCGGGCCTGATTACTGCCACACCTGTTCGCAATCAAGAAATCACTTAAATAAGACTTGACTGACAAAGTAAAGTAGACCAAAAGATCCTCAAAAGCTACACATCATGCCGAGATCCCAAAAAATCCAGGAACAAATGAGCAAGAAAGTAATTGAGATCTAAAGTTTGGGACTCCAGCGAACCACAGTAAGAGCCATTATCCACAAATGGCGAAAACATGGAACAGTGCTGAACCTTCCCAGAAGTGGGCGGCCAACCAAAATTACCCCAAGAGCGCAGCGACGACTCATCCAAGAGGTCACAAAAGTCCCCACAACAACATCCAAAGAACTGCAGGCCTCACTTGCCTCAATTCAGGTCAGTAAAAGAATGAGTGGACAAACAGCGCTCTCGAAAGAGGAATTGGAGCTACGTAGTGTGCTGCCCTGAAAAACAGTGGGAGGACCTGTGCTTTCTGAAAAAAACTCACAACAGGGCGCAAAACTAGTAGGGTGGATGATTAGACATTGATATTGTCAAAGTGTACTAGGAAATTGTGTAAAAAAGGGAGTTTACACTTACTTTTGGATTTGGGGACCAGGAGAGGGGCGGCCTCCGAAGAAGATCGAGTGGTCCAGGGTCAAAGGCTGAAGGAGTTGTGAGAATTATCGGCCGCAGTTGGAGATTGAAGAGCTGTTAGCCGGAGGGGAAGGCGAGGCGGTACTGAGGCAGCGAGGCAGTACTGAGGCAGTGCTGGGTGCTGTGACCGCGTCCGTGTCACTCTCATATGGACCGGAGTGGGGGCAGTTTGTGAGCGGAATACTAAGTATGACTTACTGGTGCTATGGCTATGCTATGGCTCCAGTGAGTCATACTTAGTATTTCGTTCACAAACTGCCCCCACTACGGTCCATATGAGAGTGACACGGACGCGGTCACAGCACCCAGCACTGCCTCAGTACCGCCTCGCTGCCTCAGTACCGCCTCGCCTACCCCTCCGGCTAACAGCTCTTCAATCTCCAACTGCGGACGATAATTCTCACAACTCCTTCAGCCTTTGACCCTGGACCACTCGATCTTCTTGCGAGGCCGCCCCTCTCCTGGTCCCCACATCCAAACGTAAGTGTAAACTCCCTTTTTTACACAATTTCCTAGTACACCTTGACAATATCAATGTCTAATCATCCACCCAACTAGTTTTGCGCCCTGTTGTGAGTTTTTTTCAATTCAGGTCAGTGTTCATGACTCCACCATAAGAAAGAGACTGGGCAAAAATGGCCTGCATGGCAGAGTTCCAAGATGAAAACCGCTGCTGAGCAAAACGAACATAAAAGCTCGTCTCTGTTTTGCCAGAAAACATCTTGATGATCCCCAAGACTTTTGGGAAAATACTCTGTGGACTGACGAGACAAAAGTTGAACTTTTTGGAAGGTGTTTGTCCCATTACATCTGGCGTAAGAGTAACACCGCATTTCAGAAAAATAACATCATACCAACAGTAAAACATGGTGGTGGTAGTGTGATGGTCTGGGGCTGTTTTGCTGCTTCAGGACCTGGAAGACTTGCTGTGATAAATGGAACCATGAATTCTGCTGTCTACCAAAAAATCCTGAAGGATAATGTGCGGCCATCTGTACGTGACCTCAAGCTGAAGCGAACTTGGGATCTGCAGCAGGACAATGATCCAAAACACACCAGCAAGTCCACCTCTGAATGGCTGAAGAAAAACAGAATGAAGACTTTGGAGTGGCCTAGTCAAGGTCCTGACCTGAATCCTATTGAGATGCTGTGGCATGAGCTTAAAAAGGCGGTCCATGCTCGAAAACCTTCCAATGTGGCTGAATTACAACAATTCTGCAAAGATGAGTGGACCAAAATTCCTGCACAGCGCTGTAACAGATTCCAAGTTATCGCAAACGCTTGATCGCAGTTCTTGCTGCTAAGGGTGGCCAAACCAGTTATTAGGTTTAGGGGCAAACACTTTTTCACACAGGGCCATGTGGGTTTGGATTTTGTTTTCCCTTAATAATAAAAACCTTCCTTTAAAAACTGCATGTTGTGTTTACTTGTGTTATCTTTGACTAATATTTAAATTTGTTTGATGATCTGAAACATTAAAGTGTGACAAATGTGCAAAACAATGAAAAATCAGGAAGGGGGCCAACACTTTTTTACACAACTGTATATGATGCACAGATAAATGCATCTTTGCATTAAGTAATGAATCATCGTCTGTATTTATCTACATGTTGATAGACATTTCACTATCAGGTGGGAAGGAATTTAAAGGAACTCTGTGGGAACAATCTTGAAAGTCCTCTGCAGAAGCATAAGACTAGTCAAATACAGGTTAACTTTGCTAAATGTGCAAATGGTCTAAGCATCTTTAGCAATTATTGGCCTGTGTAAAGGATTAGTCAAAGAGACTCTATAACTCTAGACAATCTCTTGTGACTGATATTCCTGGGAGAGTGGGAACGGTCCTTTCAATGAGTATTACCGAAATATAAAGACACACCAATCTGGGATTAAAATGACTGGTACCGATACAATATGATAATCTGGAGGATTGTCTACCTCTAGATCTGCCTGTTTAGCGAATCCAAATGCTGTACTGGGACCACCATTACTATACAAATATTTAACCCCAAAATATCACTTGTACGAAAAAAGTAACTCAGCTAATAAAGCATCTCTAATGCCATGCTGGCTTTGCGCTCTTGCATGTTGACCTTCAAATGTAAATTTAAGTGCTTGAAATACATTACATAATACTTCAGGCAAAACAAGCAACAGTCATTTCTAGAGTTTGGCTGTTCCAGATCCTTTTGTGAGGCCTTTGTTCTGAGTTAGCTAGCTCCTTTTGCTGGGAATCCGGTGACAGATTCCTTTGTGGCTCCTGCCTGCTTCTGGAAGAGTAGCTCTTGCTTACAGCAGTGTTGCCCGCTCATGTTTGTTCCTTTGTCAATACCAAGGGTCTGACCGGTGCTGTTGGTTATAGCTCTGAAGTTTTATTTGGTCTTTTATCTGGTTAATCAAGACCTGAGAAAGGAGAATTCCAACCAGCTTTAAAAAAGAAAAAAGAAAAAAGACTGTTAGTTTGTAAAGAATAGATTTTACTCTTAGATATGGATGTCTTTTGGAAAAACAGGACAAATTTATTTATTCCGTTTTCTTCATTATATCATTTAAAGTACTCAATGCATCTGGAAAAAAAAAACATGCTTGGGCAACATCCCAGTTACAAAAGTAATTAAGTGATAAGCACTGATAACTGAAAACAGTCTTCAGTGTCAACCGGTAACCAATCTGTGACTTCAACAGCTCCTTCTATACTACTGTATAGCTTACACTGTATGAAAATGGAACGTGGTATATAACAGTTACAGCAAGGGAAGGGGTACAAGTCATATCTGGAAGTGCGCAAGAAATGCAATAGGGGCAAAGACTGCTCTGACATGATGGAACAATGGCTAGCATAAAGTGCTTACACAGGTCCTTTTTCCTTTACAGAGTTACAGGATGATGCATGGAGGTAGATCTTAATGTAGATGGCTGCATATGATCCAGAGTATGGTACATTGCATGGTACAGATTAGGTGGTGCATAACATTTTGCATATTTATAAAATGTAGTGTGGCAATGCATCCTCAGCAGCAGAAGCTGTTTTTATACTGTGTGTTGTTGCTTTTTGGTGCTATGCTGCATGTATTTCTTAAGTGTGGAAATAGTAGTTTGGATGGGCTAATGGGGCAAACCGATTTGGCATTGAAATATTTATTTTACGTTGTTATTAGATTGCCATTTGCCATGTCCAATACATTTTTATGGCAGGTTCTTAACATTAGTCCCTGATTGTTAACTTTTGAAAAATATTTCTAACATATGTAAATGACATATAGTTTGCAAACAATACCAGTGTGTTACCTGAGGAATGGCCAGTCCCAGTGCCACTCCACCCAGCAAGAAAAGGTTAGTGTGCAGCCAGTTAACCAGCTTGTCAATGCAGCCGTTGGTGTGAATATATTGTCCTGCTTCCAAATAGTCTAATTCCTGCATGCCATATCCACACATGGTATTTATGACAGTCTGTAAAAGAACAATATGGAATTTGTATAGCACATCACAAAAGAAGCTCTACACGACACAACACATATGCAAACTTATTTGGGTCATATAGATATTTTATATCTTGTTGTATTCATCATATACTGCCATATTAAAGTCAAAATAGAAATTGCACTCCTCATAGTACTTGACTTTTGAATAATAGGTGGGTGCTTGAAGTGATTACAACAGTGCCAAAATCAGATGACAAGAAACACAAGCACTGAAAATAAAAGTCATAGGAAATCACTGTTTCAGAGCCTTGCAGGGACCCTTCCTCAAAGTGACACAGTGACCGAACTGGAATTTTTTATTTGTTCATTCACTACCAAAAAAAAATAAAATGTTTTTCAGTACAAAAGTATAAATCCAACTGGAATATGTACAATATAAACAAAACAAAATGTAGGCTAATAAGTCAAGAACTGTACAGACCATTTCTATATTTACATTCTTATGTATAGTGTATAAGCATATTAAAAAGGTGTCCAAATAGAAAATTCCCACAGGTTTTGAACACTCCACACACCTACTCCATGTAACTGAGACACTCAAGAAAAGAGACACCTAAGGCACCACCGAGTGCTTGTACAGCTCTATGTTAAAGGGACACTCCAACAGAGAGTGGTCTATGGCCCCCTCAATCCTACCACACTATGCATGAGGACAACCACAATCCACCAGAATGTGGTACTTTAGGTTCCCCCTAACATGAAGTCTCTCATTCGGTAATTTTGGCTTGGATCCCATGAGAACTAACCAACTTCAAACCCTCCCCCATAATTCCTCTGCAGGGCCAAAGGGGAGTGCCAGCCACACTGATAAGTCTTTGACCTCAGACATTGAGACAAGATCTTACAGTGTCCTTCTCAAGACACTGGTAAGCAACATATTTACCAAACTGTTTCCTCCTTACTGGACCCTTGAAATGTCTGCTAACAGTCCACTTCTTGACTAGCTCCCACCACTCAGATTACCTGCTGCAACTGTGCCTGAAAAAAGTCCCTGAAGGATTGTCTTACATTCTCTTCTTCATGGAGTGCCAAATTCAACTTCCAGATGCCCCTTCCCCTGAGAGGAATATCTGAAACATTCAAAACCACAAACAGAATACAGTGATTGGAAAACTCCACAGCCTGCACTTCAGGTAGTGGAGACCTCCTCTAAATAATACATGTCTATCCTACTCCGACTAACTCCTCAATGAAAGGTGAACTGAGTGATATTTGGAAAGTGCTGAGTATGCACATTAACCAGACCAGCATCCCAAGTCATATTATTTAATAAAATACTCATAACCCAGCCTGATTCTAGCACCTCATCTATCCAAGGACCTAGTATTGGTGTTAAAATCACCACTGAAGTCCTTCAGCTGAGCAGTACAAATTAAAGGCCTGACCTCTGGGAGCCATGTTAAGTAAGGGACCCCTTCGCTTTCCTATACACTACTGTTCTGTAAAGATACAACTATTGAGGGAGATACTTGCATTTCCTCCCTCCCTCACCCCCAGAATCCCCCTTTGGAGAGGAAGTGGGGAAAAAAAATCAAACTATGATTGCATATCTAAAAATAATAAAAAAAATATGTTTCTTACTGTCTAGATGTTTCTGTGGAACAGGCCTTTGGGCAGACTGCAAGCCTCTTTGTACAATTTCAAAGTGCCAGGAAACTCTGGCTGTCTCCATAGAAAGACTAGGGACACTAATACAAAAAGCCAAGCTTCAAACAGGGTTATTCACAAAAGGGTGAAGAGTTTGGAGAAGGCAGAAGTGAACAATCTAGGACAACATAGCTGATTTGGAAATATTCTCCAATTCAGCTCACTTTCCAGTACAGCTATGTCTATGTCCTAGATTGTTCACTTCTCCTGACTCTCCAAACTCTTCACCCTTTTGTGAATAACCCTTTAAATCTTTTGCCCTTTGTTGGGACAGACAGTGTTAAAATCTAGTTAACAGCTGATGATGAGATCTGCCAGCACAGTACAGACAGGGTTATTTATGGTAAACATTAACTTCCCAGCCCCCTTGCATTCCTGAGGAAAACTTTGTTTAGATATTTATTTTCAGAAAAGAGCAAATGAAATCTATACAGCAATTTTTAAACATTTTTTAAGGTTATGCCATTTGAATGAGAACATGCAACAAACACAAAACAGGTGTTATCCCAACTTGACTGCAAAAGTGGAAATACATTGTAATGAAATGAGTGTTGCACATTAGAACTTTCATAGTGCAGCAGATGTAAGATTGGCTCAGCACGTCAGGTGCAGACTCCTACTGGTTATACTGGCTTACCATTATGAAGCTAAGTATACATGCCTTCAGCATACTCCGCTGCTCTCTGAAAGGCTCTCTGTCAGTAATATAAATAAATTGTGTTCCCTAGCAGTAAGGCTTGCACCAGTTTAAGAACAGTTAGTTTACCAAACTCCTAAAACACTGTGGGGGGAATTGATCAAAACTGGAGCAGATAAAATCTGGAGCAGATTTGCACTGCAACCGATCAGCTTCTCTGTCTTATTTTCAAATATTACCTGAGCAAACTCAGGTAGTTGCCATGGGCAACTGCTCCAGATTCTGTCTGTCTGATAAATTCCCCCCCCCCCCCCCTGTGAATCAGCTACCATCTATCCAGCACACCATGATGTACCTCATCTTCCCCAAGCAGGCAACAGGAAAAGGGCACCGAGCAACGTTCTCTGCTTCGGTTTTCTGCTGTACAGTTAAAGTATATGTTCTGAGACCAGTCTTTGTAGGAGATGCCTCCACAGCAATTAAACTAGTATAGAAAAAAAAGAGACAATAAACAATATATTAAGGCGAGGTGATGGTATTCATAAAACTAACATATCACTGAAGGCAATAATTCCATAAGAAAATACTGTAAAGTATAACCGCTATAGTTAATGTGTATATTGAAAAAAATATATACACCATTTTATTGAAAGTGAGATTAAAGTCAAAAGGATTTTAACTTATTTCAAATGCTGATGAAATTACTTACAATGATTGCTGCTTCTTGATGTTTTAGTTTCCTGCAGAATCAGCTGGTTCCCTGAGCACTGGTCCTGACTTCCTGTTTTAGAGTGACTCCTTTCTCAAGCAAAGTGCTATGCAGTCACCCTTGTGTGTGCTAGTAAGCTGTGTGTCTCCACAAACACACAGACACAGCAAATCAAGCTTCTCCCCTCCCTCTGGCCCCCTCTCCTCTCTCCACCCTACTCCAAGCTAGTGGATGCATAGTTGCTGCAGTCTGCTCTGTCCTTTGTGATCTTGTAATGGACAGGAAATTTAGGGAAGCTGAACTAAGAGACTTGGAAGCAGCTATTCAGACACATGATGATTGTATGTATTTGAGCAATAAAGTAAAGCAATACTTTGCTGGGCAATGTATATTTGTTCGATCTGGATTCATTATTGAAAAAAAGTTTGAGAGTTTAATACTACTTTATTATTTCCAATGGAATATGAGGATTGTCTCCCGAGAAGGGAAACAGGAAGCATAGCTCACAATAATGCCCTGGTTGTCACGGGTACAGAAAAGGGAAATCGCCGAAAAGAGTGATAAAAATGTTATAAAAGCACCTCAGTTTTTTTTTGTTTTTTTAATGAAAAAGTGAATTTCTTTACTAAATAAGTGTAATTTTCAACATTTCCTCAAATATCATAATAAAACAACCATTATTTTATTCTACAGGTCCTCTGCTTTTAGCAAACGTGTCATTTTGGGGGGGACTTCAGTAAATTGTTAGCCCAAAAACCATGTTAACATTTGCTCTGGCAGTAAA